ACGCGACGCTGGTCAAGGCCTTTGCGGACCTGGACGGGAAGCTGGCGGGTCTCTGGCGGTCTAGGGAGGGTGCGCAGAACAGCGGCAAGGTGGCCATGTACCTCCTCCGTATCCTGCGCGACGTGCGCGAGGGTCTGCCGAAGCTCGACGCCGTCAAGCGGTTCGGTTTGGAAGTTGTCCCGTCGCTGCACGAACGGTTATCCATTACCGTGGCCGCGCAGCCATTAGAAACATTCAAGGCCAGGGCGCTCACGCAAAAGACTGTTGTTGGGCGGCCGCTGTGGGAGGGGAGTCCCGAGCTGCCCACGCAGCCTTCGCCTAGGGTGTTCCAGTTCCTGCGGGACGTGTCGACGGAGATGGGCGATGCGGGTATGGATCTCTGGAGCGCGGTGGCCGTGGGCGTGATTAAGCGGCATCTCGGGACGCAGCTGGGCGAGATGTGGCTCGAGGCCTTGGACGCGCACCTGGCGGAGGATGTCACCGGGAATAGCTCTGATGCGAAGCCTGACGATGGTGCCAAGGACTCGGTAGAGGAGAATGGTGACGACAGGGAGGTCGAGGCGTCTGAAGCAGAGAAGCCGGAGGTTCCTTCAGGCGAGGAAAAGCCAGAAGACGCAAACGGAGAAGACGAAGACGAAAAGAAGGAAGAGAAATCAGAACAGGAACCAGACACCACCGAACCCGCAGCAAAGGCACCGGCACAGGTGGACGACGGCCTCGCCCAACAGCGTCGCGATCTCCTCATCCAATGGCTCTACGACGTGTCCTTCCTTCGCTGCTACCTCGATGCCCCCGCGGCAAGCCAAAACAACAACCTCGCGAGCCTGGAGGACAAGATCTTCAAACACACGGGCTTGGACGGCGACGGGGCGCGCCAGCGGATAAGCAAGTCGTCGCAGGAGTACCACAAGAAGACGAACCTGCTTTTCGGTCTCTTCTGAAGTTGAGAATTTGTATATAGATACCCCCCACGAGTAGATCATGGATGGAAATTCCCATCATATGCCGAGTCTAAAAGTGGTCCATGACATGATGAAGACGTTGTACTATATCCTTCTCTCTTGAGACGTTCTATAAAGTCCCTTTACGATTCATCTCAATCTCAATCTCTACGCCAAACCACCTCACAACTTATGCCTCTTCTCACCGCTCGCAATCTTCCTAAACTCCTCCTGCGGAATCCCCCTCATAAACCTCTCCAACCCAGCAAACACCTCCTGCGAATTCTGCTTATCCATCGCATCCATATCCGGCCGCCGAATCAGCGCCTTGATCCCCGTCAAACTATCCCCGATCAAATGCTCCCCCAACCTCTCGTCAACCTCTCTCAGGACCAACTCCCTGAACTTGGCATCCTCCCCCTTCCCCGTCTCAAACACCTTGTTCACAAACCCGGTATGCAACAGCTCCTCCGCCGAAATCCGCTTACTCATAATCAGCGCCTCGTTCGCCTTGGAGATGCCCAGCCTCTGCACCAGCGCGCGGGAGGCGCCGCCCTCGGCCACGAGACCGAGCGACGAGAAGGGGGTGAGGAGGAAGGTGGCGGGGGTGGCGTAGATGAAGTCGGCGAAGGAGACGAGGGCGGCGGAGAGGCCTATGACGGGCCCGTTGAGGCCGACGACGAGGATCTTGGGGTGGGTGTAGAAGGCTTGGGTGATGTTTAGGTTGAAGGCGACGAAGGATTGGAGCCAGTGTTTGTGGGCTTCTGGGCCCGAGGGGGAGGCGCGGGCGATGCTTACGTCGGCGCCGCTGTGGTTGACTTCAGTTAGTACTCGTTCAGATTATTTCTTTGTTTGACTGGCTTTGTGATTTCATCTTCTCATCCAGTTGATGCGCTTGGCTTGGAGGTTGGAATGGCTGTTTGAACAGCTTCAGTTTCTCATGAGAGTTTTGTTGGGGGGTCGCAGCCGCGGTATGAGATTAAGCCGAGGTCCAATTCACCACAGAAGTTTACAGCAGTGATAAGCCAAGGTAGAAGAAGATGTAAAAAACTCACGCAGAAAAGTAGCGTCCCTTGGCCGTGAGAACAGTAATGAAAACCTCGTCGTGCAGGGCAATCTCGCGGAGCTTCTGTGCGAGGTCGTAGTACTGCGGCTGCGCGAGGGCGTTGAGCTTGCGGTCGTTGTCGATTGTGAGCAGCGCGACGCGGCCGCGGTACTCGAGGGAGATGACGGAGTCCTCGGGGCTTGCCATTGTGATATGTGTAGAGGAGAATTGTTTTGATCAGATGTGTCCTTTTCTTGAAGCAATTGGTGTTGGTTCTTTCTTGTAAATATGAACTTGAAGCAATGAGATGTTGCTGAATGTGACACTTGAAGTGAGAATCCTAATCTACCCAGGTAAGGTGAGCTAGGGGGGTGGCAGGTCGTCGGGTTTATCAAACATCAAGTGGCCACTGAGCCAGGGTGGGAAGGTCTAGCTACCCCGGACCCCACACTGCACCGAGATGCCTCGGCAGGTCGGGGTGGCATTGCGGGGTGCTAGCGCTCCATTGCACCCAACAATGATGCGTGCTTCATACAACTCTCAGCGGATTACATATCAGGTCCAATGTCATTCATAGTTGTTGTTGCTTGAATTCAAAATTTTAGACTCCGGGCCCCCTATGCAGCGTAGCGTTTTGTAATTATACGCCCATCTACTTCTTGAGAGTATCGCGTACGTAAGGTAGGTATGTGTATCGTTATGAGTGCCAGCTACAGCAGACTCCCATCATTCTTTGTAAACGTCCCCTGGCCACCGCCTCCTAAACCTCAAAAGGTAAGGAATAAAGCCCTTCTCAACCTCACCACAATGCCATAGAGGCATCCGCCGTAGAGTCGCTTTATATCCGCCTGCACACACAGTCAAACCGATCTGACCCTAATCACCTCGCGAAGCCGCCTCCTCTCCGGTGTCCTCGGCTCATCACCGTCGCCCGCTTCACCACCCTAACGGCGTTTCGGCGCGACAGATCGGAGCTTGGGGAAGTTGAGCGGCAGCGCGAGCTTGGCCACGTGCGGGGCCTTGACGCCCTTCTCCTTGGAGGCGCCCTGCCTTACCTTGGCGCCAATCTCGAAAAAGTAGTTATTCATATCCTTCTGGTCGAGGCGCAGGTCCTCGCGCAGCTTGGACGTCTCCACCTCAAAGTTGTCAATGATGCACGCGACCGCGCAGCAGTGCGTGATGAGCAGGTCCATGTGGAACTTGCGCATCTCGCCGCCGTCGGAGAACTTGCGCCGGATGTGCTCGATGACCACCTGCGGCGCCGGCTCCATGCGCTCCTTGAGCTTATCCCGAGGCGGTATGCGCTTCGTGCCGCGCTGCTTGCCTGGCGTCGCCATGGTGTAGAATGTGAAGAGGAAGTAAAAGTAGCGCAGCAGACGCATCTTGGTGATGTTACCCGAGTCGGCAATCTTCTTGACGCGGGCTGCCACGTGCCTAGAGTAGCAGAGAATCTCCTCGCCCTTCTTTGCCGGGTCGATCCAGTCCTTGACGGGGATCGCCGCCAGGATCTCGCGGCCGATGAATTCGTCGGGGTCGTAGACGTCCTGGATCGCTTCCGCTTCGAGGTTGGGCCTGGGTACAGGCTTGGCTTCGTCGACGACGGCCTGCAGCTGCTCGCGCGATGCCATTGTCGCGGTGACGCCGCCAATCTCTTGCAGGATCGCCTTTGCTGCCGTGTCGAGCTTCTCGGGCGCGCTGTCTCTTGATTTGCCGGGGGCGATGGCGTTGAGAGCGACCGACTCGATGGCCTTCTTCGCCTTCTTCGTACCGAACGTCTGGCCAAGGTCTTTCTTGAGATCGTAAAAGCTCTGCTCGGCGTTAGTGATTGTCTTTCAAGGACCCTTGTGTGGCGTGACTGCGCATACCTGGTAATCTGCCGGCGCTGTCATGGCCTCTTCTGACGCATGCTTTGCTCTGGCCACACCACGAACCACCATCTTCTTCGCCTCCACTACCTGAAGCTTGCCGGTCTCGGGGTCGTAAATGCCGACATAGTGCTTCAAGGCCTGCTGGCTGTCGCTGATACCGTCCTCTCTCGCTGTATAGTCCATCGTCTGGTGGGTATTGGAGTGCAGAACGAGATCCTGCGACACTGCGGGGGTTTTTGATCGTCGCTTAACGGATGAGGCATCTTGCTTGACGTATGGGTTGAACTGCACACCCTTCGCTAACCGGATACCGGGAGACGAAGCTTCTTACTGTTAGCGATCGTCTGCGGCTGCAATTGAGAGGCAGACGGGGCCTAGATCGTCCGTACCTAGTACTGGCGGGCAGAGCTGAGGTCTCTGAAATGAAGAAACGACAACTGTGGAAGGCTCGGTGGCCTGCTTCTTTTTGGACTTGGATGAACCGTCGAGGTCGCGCTTTCTCTTTCGTGCACTTGCGTCCGCCATGTTTGCGTCGGTGATCGAGGTTTGTGCTAGGCTCGGGTGGTGATCTGCCGTTGGTGGGATGGCGACGGCCTCTGGAAATATTTTCTGTAGGGGTCCTAGGCCAGAGACAGACTGAGGTGGAGGGAAGAAAAAAAAAGTCGGCAAACCGGCGTTGGATTATCCCTAAGGGGCAGGCGGTGTGTAGCCTAGCAGCAAGCGTGCGGGAGCGCCTCATGCAGACGACCCCACTCGAGCTGGGTCGACAAAACGTCACAGCTCGGTTGTCGCACTCAAACTGACAGGATGAAATTGAAGAAATTAGGTGGGTTGGGCTTGCTGACGCTGCAATTGAAGCAAAGCGATGCACAAAATCAAACAATGTCTTGTTCAGTTCACAATCACTCAGATAGAGTCTTTTGTTTTGGAGTTTTTAATTCACTTTTTGATTTTGTGAGGAAGCAATTATCTGCCTTTCAATTGTCATGCAAGTCCTGATCCCAGTTCCAAATCCGCGTTGCGTCAAGACATCATGCTTCCTGCGGCCTTGTTCCATAAACACCGCGTCCTCATCATATCGTCATCTCGACCGATCATATTGTCGGGTTTTCCATTCTTCGTCGAATTCTCAATGCGTCTCCAGACATGCGCGCCGTTCAAATCATGACCCCAAGTCCCGTAGTTCCAATCCGTAGTGTGAATGTAGAAGTCTCGAGCGAGCCGAGACAGACTGAGTCGCTGGTGACGAATGCTGGCTATCGCATATCCGTTTTGGCGAGTCGCGTGAGTTGTTGTTTGCCGTCATCTCAAAAGATGGTCAGGTCGAGGGGAGGGGGGGCGAGTTGTTTATTTGCTGTGTTTCTGTCAGACCACAATCCTCGCATCAATGATATCGATTGGTAAACTTACGAGCGAGCCCTCATCTTTCTTCTCTTACGCTTGAGACGACGCACGCGCTTCTTTCTCCACTTAGCTCTCATCTTGAATGACGAAGCTGCGATATGTTAGTAATGGATTCGTATTGCGCGCAAATATCAACCCTGCCGATTGCTTGCCGAAAGCTCTCCAATCCCTCGCGGAATTGGCGCTGACGACATCGCGATGGGCGTAGCGGGTAGGGGAGGGGCGCAGTACTTACTCTTCCTTGGTGAGAGATGTTGGTGATGAAACTTCCTTCCTCCAACTGTCACGCGCCTGGAGGGGAAGTTTTAGTGGTTGAGCTCCGTAGGGCAGCCAACCCTACTACCGCATTATGTAATCCACACAGACCCCACACTGCCACCTAAAGCTCCTCGTCCCTCACCAAAGTGTTGGAACGCCCAGGACACGGCAGGCATGTAAAGTGCCTTCAATTGGCTTGACCTCACTGGTCCTCTGCCCTGACGGGAGCTCACTGACAGGCACTCCAGGTCCTCTGCTCCGTTCATCCCGTCCTCAGCTCCCATCTTGCCCCGCACCGGATCAACGCCGGCATTTACGGACCTACCGAGGCGGGTCATCCGGGTTCCACTCATATCCGGAGTGGGGCCTGTTCCGGAACCGGGTGTATTGGCAGCGCTTGAGGCCGCATTTGCCCTTCAGATGACCAAAGCACGGAGAAAGACAAGATCCCACGAGCATTGCTTCACTTTTATTGTCAGCTCATACCCGTATCCCGAGTCACAGCCAGCCTTTCTGAAGTTACCTTACTCCAAGTGAAGGACAAGACCAAGCGAACCGAGCCCCTAATGCGGTCTACGAGTGGTGCTCTCCGTGCAGTCTACCTATGTTTTGCAGTGTGAACACTGAATTGCATACGCTTCCATTCCTTTGTGATCTGCGCATCATTCCATCGGAAATAATACAGGTAGTACTACACACGCAATGGGACTTCATCCTCACTGATAATCGCTGTGTCCCTTGGGCTCAACACCAGACATCTTGTCCGAACCGCCCTTCTTCTTCTCGCCCGCCTTGCCATCACCCTTCTTCCCTCCCTTGGCCTCACCACTAGCATTTCCCCCATCCTCAAACCCAACAACCTCAATCGTCGTAGCGACGTTACCCCTCGTAGCCCGACTATACGGACAAACCTCCTCCGCCCTCTCCACAACCTTGTGCACCTCCTCGTCGCTCAGACCCTTAACCCGAACCTTCAAATTCACCCTGAGTCCCATATCAAGCTTCTTCATATCGCCCACCAGATGCACAGTCGCATCCACGACGCTGTCCTCGGGCTTCTTGGGCATCGTCACCCCCAAGCTCGCCGCCGAAGCGTTCATCGCGCTCTGGAAGCAGGCGCCGTAGCCCGCGGCGAAGAGCTCTTCCGGGTTGGTTTTGCCCTTGTCGCCGGCGCCGCCGAGGGCTTTGGCCATGGTCAGGTCGACGACGAGGTCGTCGCCCTGGACGTGGCCCGTTCGTGCGCCGACGACTTTGGCGTGGGCGGAGTAGAGAACTGGTGCGGTTTCGGTGTTGAGGAGACGGGTTTGTCGGTGTGCTAGTGGCGTGATGCGGGTTGCGGCAGTACCGCGGGAGAGGATCTGCGGTGCCCGCTGCGCCAGTCTGAGGGAGCGAATCGAGGCCGACATTTTTGCGGATGGTTGGTCTATCGAGTGCTGAGAGTTACACAATTTTAAGCAAGGAATATGAAGGATACAGAATTGAGGTGAATTGAGTAATGTGACTGGGGTTTGAACAGAGAGAGCTCGAGAGCTTTGCAAGCTCTTTTGTTGACCTTATAGCTTCTCATGTTTGGAGCTTAGCTCTAGATCGTCTTGAGAATGTACCGGTCACCGGTGACGTATTGGATAAGGCACCGTAGGTCGAGCATCTCAAGCCCCCCTAACGGACCACAAAGTCCTGAAGCTGACTCATCTGGGGCTTTCCAACCCAAAGAATTGCGAGTGACAAACATGGACGTTTTCTACTTAGTATCTAAGGTATGTTAGCACAATATCTGTTTCCGTTCACGCCAAGTAGCCCAGGTACATTGGTTGCCAGAGCCATCAACTCAAATAGTCTCGAGACAAGGGCGAGGTTCTAACGCAACTCCGAACATCGATCAAAGTCATGTAGAAGCAGTTTCCAAGAGAGTGATCGGACAAGTTCCTTTTAACTCTGTTGGCGCACAAGGACATGATTCTTCTTAATCTCACGGCATGCACCTATTGTAGGCTCTTCTCGCTGTATATCCTGACAGTCGCCTTGTTCACGAAGCAATGGAGACGAAGACAGAAATGAGAAGCAAGTAGCGTGCATCCAAGAACATGATATATCTTTTCCCCCCATAAAAATCACCATCTTGTCGCGTCCCAATCGTTACCAGCAAATGCCTCCTTCTACCTTGCCCTTATCAGATGCCATCATCGTGTAATCTCGATCCATCCAGAGCTTCGCTTCATGCAAAAAAAAAGTGACACCCTATACCACTCTATCCAGAAAGAAACATCTCCCATCATGCCTCTTCACCCAAAGTCAGCATCGCCTCCCGCGGCCCCTCAGGAGGAAACACCAACGGCCGCAGCTCCGGATACGCCTCGTCCTCCTCATCCACCAACAGCGGCTCAAGCAGCCCCATAACCTGCTCCCCCGACCGCGCATCCCGCGCCGTCAGCGTCTCCAGATCCCTCACCACGACGACCCTCTCCTCCCTGGTCAGAGGCCGCCTCCGCTCCCTCTCCACCGCCTCGGCAACCTTGCCCCGCAACCTCCCGCCCGCCGTCGTCGACGTCTTCTCGTCAGCAAACGCGACCAGGTTCCCCCTCCGCACGACCAGCACCCGGTCCACGAAATCCACCTCGTCGATCCACTCGGCCACGCTCATCAGCCCGCCGTACGAATCATCGTGGATCTTGACCGGCGTAAGCCGGATCGGCAGGCCCCCCGCCGGCCCGGCCTCGGGCAACCTCTCGTGAAACCGGTGCAGGATGCCCAACCTGCTCAGCGCCGCCGGCACAGCCATGACCACGACCTCGACGCGATACCCTCCCGCCCCGAACGCGCGCGCCAGCTCGCGGAAATCGTCCGGGTGCCGGCACGCGCTCTCGAGAAGCACGTCGAGCCTGCGCTCCACGGCCTCGGCGACGGCCATGGCCAGCCACCTCCGGGCGTCGGTGCCCGTGGCGGGGCTCGCGAGGGCGGCCTGCGCGGGGTCCCTTGACGCGACGAGCGCGGCGTAGGAAGGGTGGTGCGCCTTGTAGAGGTCGGCGATGAGGTGGGCGGGCGGGTGGATGCGGGTCATGGCGTCGAGCACGGCGGGCGCCAAGCGGGTTTTGCCGGCGCCGGTCTGGCCGACTATCAGCACGGCCAGGGGCCGAGACCGGCGGGGGTGCGGGGTGAGGGTCGCGGGGAGGTCGGCGGGGAGGATCTTGTTGGTGAAGATCTCCCGTGCCTCTGCGTCTGGGAGGACGTGGCGGGATAGATCTGGTGGTGGTGGCATCGTTTTTTTTTTCTTCTCTGTGTTTGTGGAGTTTGGGGAAGTGGGTTGCGATGAAAAACTGTAATTACTGATCCCTCGGGGCGTTCTTCTGGGTACCGAGTCTACCTTATCTAGCAAATTTCCAAGAAAGAAACCTCCCCCGAGTTTTGGTAATATTTTTTTTCCTCGCTGAGAGGGGACGTGAGGAGAAGGGGGAAGGGAAAAAAAAGCAGGTGACTCCAAGTGGTGTTTAACATGCAGAGGCGGAGTCAATACACGGAAAATCAGGCGCACAAGTGTCTTGTGCCAATAAATCCGGCATACCCGGGGAAACCGGAAGGAAACAAACTGCCAAAGTCCGCTCGTCTTTGCCCTGCCTATCTCGCAAAAGTATAAATTCGCCTATCCTTGGCGGAAGTGAAGGGGGAGAGCTGAGCGAGTCAAGGGGGGGCCGGCCTAGGTATGGTTGTTCTTTGACGTGAACCTATCGCCCTCCCGTCACCCACCCCCCGCGCGCCCGAGAGCAGTGTGATGGGATGGGATCATGGCGTTCTCTCGGTTTTTTTCCTGATTTTCCTTCTCCCCCCAGCGGTAACTCGGACTCCACACACGCGATGGGAACCCTTGACTTGATCCAATCACGGCTTCCAATGTCGAGCCGACCAGCGGCAAAGAACTTTGTGGACTCAATGGGGGGTGGTTTGGGAACTTTGACTTCACAGAGCCGTCCCTCGGCAGGTCTTGGTTTGGCTAAAGTTACCTTACCTTGCCTACCTTAGCACATTGCTTGGTGAGGTACTAATGTACGGAAACTAAGGTTGAGCAGTAGGCGGCCCGAGAACGAGCGCGACATGACGGGATGCCAGATATAGTAGAACTGCGATCAGAGTCGCATTTTCCTTATTTGTTTCCGGGAGGCAAAGATTTGTCAGAAGATGGCTAAGTTTCTTTTACCCCGACAATGCCGGCACTGAGTTGCATTACGTTCGTTGGTGCCCGACCCGAGGTTCTGGTACAGGAGTATGACAACCTCCCCCCCGGGCGGGCGGGCCCGGGCACTGCCCCGGCGCAGCGCTGCCGGGCCCCCTGCAGATCCTCCATCATCCGGAATCCTGTCATCGGGAATCATGATCGAATCTCGGTTGTTTGCCAATTCGGGTCACCCGCCCCGCGACGCCGCGCGCGGCGCGGAACTCCCCATTCGGCTTTCGGCTTTGATGGGAGAATCCTGACCTCACTGACAAGCTTTCTGGTACCAAATGCGTGATACCATCAAAATTGACTTGCCGTGCCTTTAAAGTTGCGGATAAAATCTAGTAAGATGTCGAAACCAATAAGTGGAATATTATTACTTTCTTAAGTAAGGTGCGTTGTACAAGGGTGTTCTCGTTCGACGGAGGGGAAAAGAAGGTGACGTTGCACAAAATGTCGAATCTTACTCGATGGGAACCGCTGAGGCGGTCTGGAACATCGTACCATTCATCCCTCTCACCGTTTGCTTTACAAAAGTCGCGTCATGATCATCTTGTCTTTTAGAGAATAGAACCAAGATGGACTATTCCAGGACTGAGCTTTGCTGCGCTCTTGGTCAAGGAACAATGCCTTGTGGTCTTATTTGAATCTTGGCAAATAAAGAAATACTGTCTTCCACTGTTTCTTGGACGCCATGGAGAATGAATCCAGACTAGTTCGTCCACTCAAACTTATGTTTCCGCCAAGATGATTTGCCAATCGATGATACCAGACTCAAGTAGAACACCGCCGAATCCAATTCCTGTTAGCACGCGTCTGCGAAACTTTAGCCTGTATCGACAATCCTGAAATAGCGTGAGCAGTTACCACAGTCTTCTCGACAAGCCTTTAAGTTGGACCAGAGCTAATGGAGGGGGCGGCGGCAGATGAGTGGTCGGATTGGGCAAGATGATGATGATGGTGATATCCAGATTCAACGACAGGAGGAAGAAGAACTTCGCCTCCAGCAACAGCAACAGCAGGGGCCCTGCATTGAACCTCAGACCCCAGTCGAAGGCCGCATGATTGATGATGATGATGATGATGATGACGATGCTGGCGACGACAGCATCGTCGTCACAACGCAAGAGCCAAAAGAGCCAAAAGACCAAGACGACCAACGCAGCCAAGGTAGGGACCTCGCGGGAGACTACACGGCACACATCCGGGCCAAAAGCTAACTCTGACTCAGCGACTGGAGCGAAGCCGAGATGCGCAAGCTAGTAGACCTGCGCTCGCGGGGCGTGGGACGGCAGCTCATCAGCGCGCAGATGGGCGAGGGAAGGGTTTCAGATCGGTAAAGGCCCTTGCGTGCAAAGTCCTGGCGGCTGAAGGGGAACGATTCGCACGCGAGGAAAGTGAGAATGTTGGCAGAGGAGGTAAGAGGCAGAGGGAAGGGGTAGGAGGTTAAGGCAAGGTAGGTTCGAGATAAAGATGTTGGGAAGTGAAGTTGACACACACTCGTCTGAGGTTTTAATTTCTGCTTTGTACAGAGAAGCAGAGTGGAAACCAGTATTTGAACTAGTAAATAGGGTCAATTGGTATTTCTCCAGGCTGAGCCAGACAGCGTCAAATCCACGTCACCAAAGTACTAGGACAAATCTCAATGGCAGGCAAATTTTCTCAATATTGACGACTATAAAAAGCAAAGACCAAATTGTCTCCGCCAGCAGTACTTCAAAAGGTATCCATCATCCTTCGTGTTCAACGGACGGCCATGTTCGCCCGTTGCCATCCCCCGATAGACCTCCTAACCTAATGAGAAAGAACTCAGTGAGAGCCAAGCTGCAATGCCGGTTCAAGGTCCTGTGATTGCCCTTCCTTGCACTCGTGCGGACTCCAGAAATAACAGTATTGTCTGGCCACACCGCCAGTGAGCTCGCAGCCTCAGATTCCCAACGCCAATGAGATGAGGTATGAGTGAAAGACGAAAACCCGTTTGAATCCCTAGTAATGCCGAATTCCCATTCCCCCAACGCCGATGTATGAAAAGTGATGTGAGGTATTCCGGCCCGTGACACCCGCTGCAATATGAGTGTCGAGTCCGCCATTGTTGGCCAAAAATCCTCAGAATCAAATAAAGCAATAATTCGTAGCCGCGAGGCTGGTGATTTTTGGGTTTTTACGTTTTGTTTTCCAGTGAAACAAGAGCGATGCTCTCCCTATCGATTTCTTGCGCCTTACGACGCGTGCGATGGCACGCTGCGAGGCGTCACATCCCCGCTACGTCTGCGGCCTTGGAGCTGCGCGGCCTGCTGCGACCTCGATGCCTCTGCAATCATGGCCATCTTCTTGCGGACAGTTGAGAGACGTGCGGTAATCATTTGAATCACTGCCAAATGTTAGTGCCATAGGAAAACATGGATACAGCTGCTCATCACTTACTCCGATTCACGGCCAGCTGGTCGTCGCTGTCCAGGTCACTAGACGTCTCCTCGCGAGGCAACTCCTTGCCTGAGCTAGAGTAGCGCCGCTTTACTGCGTCTTCGTCGTTGTCCAAAACAGCCTCCAGCATCCGAATGGCCGTGACATAATACGTGACGCAACCCTCAAGGTTCTCGTTGGTAATTTCATCAATGGCGGCTGTTCTGCTCATCTCAATGGCTCGGTCGTACATCAACTTCTCCGCACTAATGCCCGGCGTGAGGTAGACATCGGGGGTGCTTGAAGTAGCTGACGAAGCCGAGACTCCGCCGTGGTTGCTCGGGTGGCTGGGATGATCCTCAGGAAGCTTTTGCTGGACGGCAATGAGTTTCATCCGGACGACCTCGGTCTTCTCCAAGACTTCGTTGAAACGAGTCCGAACCCATTGAACGGTGGAGTTGATGCGCTGAGCGAGGCCCTCTTTGGAAACCTCTGCCGCAGATGTTGTATCCCCACGTGTCTTTTGTGACCACCATAGGCTTGCAGCGTCCATGGCTCTAGCCAGCAACGTCAGAGCCTTGACGTACAGGACCAAAGCCTCCTCAGACAAGGAAACCTCGGCATCGATTGTGAGGCCGTCCTCATCGCCAGTGATCTGATCGGTCGGCGTACCACCGAGTCCGTGCTCCATTGACGGGGCGAGAGGGAAAAGCTGCTTGTACTTGACTTCGGCAAACCCATAGACACAATCACTTCGGTGAGCGAAATCCTGGATGAGCTTGACAGCTCGCGCATCTTCGTCGGCTGGTGCGTTTTGCTTTCCATCGCCGATGAGGCCGACGGGACCTGAAGGGGTAGGGTAGGCAGGAAATGGGCTGTACAGAGGAGGAGACGCCCCTTTTCCGCCCAGCACATGCTGCGGTACCTTGAATCCGAACAATCGTACGCTGGCGTCTGAAATAGCTTTGGCGATAAAGCCTTGAGTTGTCGGGCTGGCGGAGAAATTCTTCCCGTCGTACGAATCGCGGCTCTCATGACCGGGACGCCCCTTGCCTGAAGCGATTTGAACTGCACTGGATGGCTGGACTCGGCCAGCGCCGGTCGTCGAGGTGGGCGGTCCCTGTTGCGTGGCTCGGCGAATCATCTGGCCAGTCTTTGGCGAGAGTGACGTGAGACGTGGGTTAGCGGCCATTTCATCAGCAAACGCGTTTACCTCAACGTGCTTCTTTTCGACCACAACATAGTCTCGCTCAAATGCCACATCTTGTGCCGCCTTCTCTTGTTCGGTGACACTCCGCTCGGTGACTGGACGAAGTCTGTTCCTTGCCGGATTGTCGTTCAAGTACGATGTCGGCGGGGAGGCGGAGGCTCGTGCAGAAGGCCGGTTGAGAGCTGCATTAGAGAGTCTGTGTGGCCGGGCTGGTGCAGAAGTGGAGGGTTGGGCCATAGGCGGACGACGAATTCCGAGTCCCTCCCCAACTTCTTGCCCCGGAGACTGGCCTGGACGTGGCGCAGCATCAATGGCCTGCTGGGCCCGCCCTTCGATGGGACTGGGCAATTTCGGCGATCTAAGAGGCTTCTCACGAGGCGATTTTGCTGACTCGCCTTGCTCACGTACAGGCTCAGTCTCTGTTTGCCGGCGAAGAGAGAGCCGACGTGATAACGATGACGTGGAATCGGACCTGCCGAGAGACCGCAGATCGCGCGAGGCCTTTGCCTCAGGCTTCGGCGGCGCATCATCTTCAACAGTGCCTGGAATGGGTTCTGTCAAAATTGGATCGTTGAAGAAGTCTTCGAATCTCATGCGTTCGACCGGGTTACGAGTGAGAAGCTTGCCGATGAGCTTGACCAGCTCTTTACTGACCACGAGCTCCTTGGGGTACTTAACCCGATCTTCGGCAGCTTCGATCTTTCGCAAGAGCTCTACGTGGTTCCGGGCGCGGAATGGCGGACGACCAGTAATCATCTCGTATAACACCGTGCCTACAGACCACAGGTCGGCCTTCGCGTCGTACCGCTCATAGCGAAGGATTTCTGGAGCCATGTAGAGAGGAGATCCGCAGAGAGTGTCGGCGAGCGACGTTGACGGGAGGACACGAGCGAAGCCGAAATCTGCGAGCTTCAGCATCGGAAGAGAAGCGAGACCGGCATTAGGAATCAGTGAATCCTGGCTGGCGGTCAAGATCGGGCGGGAGTGTGCCTCCCTGAATCTTGGTGATGGTAGGAGCAAAAGGTTCTGAGGCTTGACGTCGCGGTGAACGTAATTCTTCTCTCGCAGGAACTTGAGAGCGCTGCCGAGCTGTTGAAGGAAATGGCGTGTGACAACCTCATGGAGACCCGAATTAGGGGTAACGGGGTACTTCCTCGCCATCTCGTGTGTTGCAGGGTTGGTGCTTAGCTTGTCCCTCTTCTTGATGAACAATGACAAGTCACCAAGCTCACAGTATTCCATCACCAGGTTGATATGTGTGGCTGATTCGACGCAGTCATGGAGGGCGACGATGTGCGGGTGACGAAGAGTCTTGAGAATCTGGATCTCTCCATACAAGTTCTCTCGTAGCTTATTATTCAAGCGTCCCATTTCTACTGATTTGATAGCGACGGTTGCCTTGGAGTTCTATTAAAAGAGAATTAGCACATTTGGAGCAACACAACAATGCAAGCCAAAGTTGAGTCATAGCACTTGAGCAAATCAGGAGGAACAACAGAAGGTGATACACGCAACAGGCCTCAAGGAAAACACGACGGACAGGGGAGCTGGCGAACCTTGTGGTGACCGCTGTACACCTGGGCAAAGCTGCCCTTGCCGATTTCGCCTCCAATAACAAAGTCTCCGATAGAAGCGTCGCCTTCGCGTCGCCTGCGTCCTGAAGAGGACGAGGTGGGTAACCGTTCCGCCATGTTGATCGCCTGTAATGCTGCTTGTGAGGATGCGAGTTCGGGGGTAGCGTTCAGGTCAGGCCTTTGGCCTATGCTATTCGAAAGACGTCGGCCGGATGGGGTGTCATGTACACGATCGAAATTGGGGAGATGGTCGTTGTGATGGATTTATTCGATAGATTTGGCGGAAGAAAGGTTCGCCGAAAGAGAAGCAAGAGGAGATCAGGCAGAACCACGAGCAGCAGCCAGAACCCTGGTGTCGGTGCTTCGAAAGGTAGGGGACTGTGAAGGCAGCGACAGGCAGGTATCCGATAGGTCGGGGTGCACGCGGACCAGGTTGATGCAGAAGGGAAGGACCGTCGTAGCGTCCGTGGGTGGGTGCAGGATTGTGTCGACGAAGCGAAAGTCGAAGAAGGTAAAGAAGGGCAAGGATGGATTTGTTCGGGGGGTCGTGGTATATCGAGCGGTGATCGGAGAGGGAGTTGAAGGAGGGAGGCGCTGGAAGTATCGAGAGAGATGTGACTAATACGGGTGGACGGTGAGCGTTAGGAAGCAAGCCAAGGAGAAGGTACCAGGCCGTTTGAGGCTCTCTGGGAGTATATCGGAGAGTTTGGAGCAAGTTCGGAGGGGAAAGGTACCTTTTTCAGGACAAGAGTCAGGCAAAATCCAAGGTCAAGCTAATGACTCGGAGCTACCAAGGACGTGACGTTTTGTACTCGAGAGGTACCCTGATGGAGTGGGAGACCGAGAGAGAGAGGCGGTTATGTGGGCGAAGCAAACGGCGGTACAAATGGGCAGGCGATGGATGCTGTTAGATGTTGGTGGTAAGGTATGCGCACAAAGGGCTTTCGCGGAGAGCAACCGGGGAGGGGCAGAGAAGTCGAGGGGATGTCGTGAATGTGGTGAGTAGAGAGAGGTAGGAGGTGGAAAGAGAGAATAGTTGACGGATAAGGTCGAGCGAGGTTGGCGAAGGGGTGAGAGAGAGACGTGAGTGAGAGGAGTGGCGGGCGGTCAGGATGGGATGGGCAGGCGATGTAGAAGAAGGTCAAGGGACGCGCCGAGAGAGGGTTGAGTGACAGACCTGGAGCCAGCCGGGCAGCGCAGGACGGGAGCGAGTGACGAAGGGTGGATGGGGCGCAGAGTGGATAAGGCCTACTGATTAGATAGGGAGGTGCAGGGGAAGGTCCAATTATTGACTGCGATAAAGGGCGCTTGGAGGTCCTGGTGGCCAGGTGAGACCGTGAGAGGTACCTAACCTTGTCTACCTACCTTACCTGGGTAGGTACCCCCGTACATTTCGAGGTTGGCCGCGGTAGCAGCCCTTTTTGACTGTCACTGGCTGTCTACAGTCAAAGTTCCTCTCCTAATGTATGGAAGGTAGCGTGGGTACCGCAAGGCATGTATTAGATCGGGACTGGAGGAAGCAAGCAGCGGCGCAGCAGTAGCGCCAGATGGGACGGGAGCCCAGTGTGAGTGACTGTCCCGTCAATGACAAGGACGAGAATCTATTACTGCGGTTATGGTGGTGAGTCCTAATTAATCGGAGCCGGCATGGACTGAGGACTCGGAACTGTAGCCTGCGTCTTGCCGTGTCCGAAGCGAAGCGGTGCGCTGCGTTACCCTGGCGGTGGTTGCTTTTGATACATACTTCATGCAGTCGGGTAGGTATCCCTATGGATACACTGCAGGCGGGGGTACATACTGCGTATCCGTACACAACTGATGGTTGGAGATCCAAGGTGACAGGCAGGGCACAGGAACCCGGGGAGGGCAAGGTAAGGTATGGGATTGGTCTGGACTGCCTATGTAGTATACAGTAGGTGATGAACAAAAGGGACGGATGCCTCGAGGATGGGTTTTGAGATGGTGCTTGGGGTGCTTGGTCTTCTCCTGATTCGGAATGTTGAAGAAGATGGAGGCGGTGGATTGGTGGATTGATGGTTTGTTGGGTTTGGGTGAATGCGCTGTGATGCTGCGCGTAGGACAGCATGGAGAGGCGGCAGCTGTGCTCTCTCTGTGCCTCCCAGTCTATCCTTTCTATTCTCTCTTGTATTTCCACGCCTCTTTCTCGCTAGTGAGTGACAACCACGATCACGACGTGCCCCAGTCTGACTGACCAAGACAGATAGATCCAGGTGGCCAGGGTTGGTGTCGATGATGTAGTGTGTCTATCTGCCTGACCAGTGGGGCGCAAGAGAGCGAAGGGGTCGCATATAGCGAAGGCGCTTGTGTCTGTCTCTCCAAATCCATTTATTATTGTAGTGTACGGAGTACCTTCAGGAAGTATATAATGCATCAGGAGACGACAGTCATTTGTCCAAGGCGCAACTCCAACAAGAAAGACGACGATCCTCCTTGTGCTTGACTCGACATTAGAAAACGAACACACAGTGTAGGTTGTTATTGTTGGACTCTGAGGGGGCAAGTGACCAGAGAAACGTGAGCTTTGCCTAGGCGACCCTTGGGTTTGGGGGCTCGTGATGCTCTGCGCTGCGCTGCCCGGTGGAGCTTTTTCCCCAATTGTGCGAGTGCTCGGAGTGAGGAGGTACCTTAAGGTAGGAGTCCATGAGTGTCGCGATGCGGTACGTACCTAGCTATATGCCGTTCCGGAACAGCCAATGCAGGTGCATCGCAACCACCCCCGCTCGTATCCTCGTGGTCACTGGTCAGGGGTCCTTTTGGTGCTGCGTGGTGGTGCGACGGGGGTCTCATTGGAAAGGGATACCTTGGCTGTACCAGTCCGGTGTCGGTCACGCACACCTGCCTTTTACTCTTCAGCCCTCAGTGCTTCACAAAATCCATTTGCCTTGCTTGCTTGAGGTGAGGTAGGTGGGCTTTTGGGATTCTCCTTCAAAGCTTCTCACCATTTGGCCCTTGGGTCTTTGGTTCCTTGGCTACAAACCTAGTACCTAGGCAGTATTGCTTGCGCAAAGGTCAAGTACCTACCTTCCCTTGAGGTACCAGATATCACCCACTGTCGCACACAAATGCCATCATGGCGCGATAAGGCTCATGTATCGCGATAAGACGCACGGTTCAGCAAGGTACCTGGGTACCTCAAGTTGGGGTTAGGCAGTGCACCAATCCATCCACCGCCCACCACCACCGCCTTCCTCTTCCTGCACCCCTTCGTTGTCGTCCTCGCAGTCGTCCTTATCCTCGCAGGCTCGCGCCCGTCTCCCTCATCTCCCCCGGACCAGCACGCCTTATCTCTGAGTCTTGTCATCTTTGATTAGACTAGCGGCTGCGGCTGCGGCGACATACGGATACATCTTCTGATCAGCACGATACGACATCCGGGGTGACAGAAAATAGGGTATTCTGTTTCGGCGTTTGCATCTCGTCTGCATTCCTCCCCCCACGGCTCCTCTCGTCCAGACTTCCCAGACCCTCCAGAATTGTCTCCACTCGCCGAACTCGCCTAACTTCCGTGTCTGGGAAGGCGCAGAGACAACGCAGCCAGCTCCAACCTCTTGGGTACAATGTCACCACTCACCATTCACCACTATGGGTGTCAAGGGCTCGAGTTCATGGCCATTCTCTATCTTACCCCATGGCCCAAGCCGCAGACTTGCCTTTCTGCCTCTGCGGCTGCTATTCCTATTGCGACCAGGAAGCAAGAACACGCAAACGCATGTATCTTATCCGTACTCCGTTCAGATACCCAGGGAGAGCACGGCCGTTCTATTCACGGTAGACAATACGGACACGACCTGGACTCTTACCCTCGGCTGTGCTCGAGGACTAAAGAGCCTGAGGCATAATGCCAGTACCTATGGAGGCGGTGCCTGAGGAAGCTGTTTGTGGGCAACTCAACTGTCATGAATCCTTGACTTTGACTCCAATAACAAAACAAGAACCTCTCAAGAAGAGTCAAGGGGTCGAGGCCGAGGCCCTGCTCCTCATCGTCACACCGCGTTGCCATGGACCACCTCTCATCAATATCAAACTTCTCGTGCATTGCAGAGCATGTCGCTCGTTCAATAGACAAACGACGGGAGACAAATGACGGGCGGTGAGTGAATGACAAGGCATCGACGAGGCGAGGAGACTAGCTGGTGTAAGCTCACCGAGCCCACCTCTCGACTCAACAGAGACACAGAGGTTCATTGTCTCCGAACCCGTAGCTTCCACTGTGCAGCAAGATACACTTTAGCTGCTGGAACACCTTGCGCCTGCCCGCTCGTCCCTGCTACTGGATTTCATCATCACATCGTCAGGTCTTCGTCGAACAAGGTTCCCAGTAATAACGGCCACTCTCCCGTCCAATCCACGCCTACAATCCGACCTGGTCTCCTCACCCCTTACATTTTGTTACCACCTTTGGCCCGACTCCAGCGAACCCGTTCTCGATCTCTCCCCTGTAACAGCATACTTACGATGGAACCCTATCCACCTGGCTTTACTTTACAGTGTGAACGGAGCACGGCAAACCTTACACTTAGACACGCTGCTTAGGTCCCTAGCTGCCTGCAGTCCACCTTTGGAGCATTCCATCCGCCCTTCCAGATGCACGCCAGAACACCCGGACCGCATGAAAAACATGCCCGCTGTCCCAGAGTCCCAGACCTCTCTGAGTTGTTTCGACACGTCAGTAACGCTGTGTTTCGGTCTACCTCTCGGCCAACCAAAGTACACAAGTCATCAAAGGTACCTTTCCGACATACACCGCTGCCCTCGGATACGATTGATCACCCTTTGGGGCCACACACTAGCAACATTGAACCAGCGCCAAAGTGGACTTCAGGGACCGATGGGCCTTGCATCAGATCTGCTCCGCTGAGCCACCAGAACCCACAGAGCACCAAGGTTTCCGAAAACTACCCTGATAGACGGCAACTACCTACCCGCAATCTCCCTAGCAGCAGCAAACACATGCTGCATCTCGTTATCTCATGTGAAAATCACCAGCCACGCCAGCGGTTAGACTAGCCAGCTGTCAATCACCGTTGAAACGAACCATTTCTCAGCAGGTCGACCGATTCGAGCATCCCGAGAGTGCTCAAAGCTATTCAGTCTCTTTCTCTGGCTTTAAGCCTTGATGGTACCGACAGAATCGTTCTGTCTCCTCATTCCAGCGAGCCATGGCGCAATCTGGTGTTCCACAGCTAAAACGACTCGGTAATGACGGTGTCAAACTTCAAAGTACCTCACCTACCTTACCGATACATGGTCCCAAAGTCAAAAAGTCTACCAACGCTTGCTACGCTACGCTACGTTCTATGCCCGAGTGCGCTGCCGTCGTCGACTTGTCATTCATCGCCTCAAAACTTAGGTTTCCGGTCCAAACAACGCCCCCCGTCAACTGGGTATCTGATCCAATCTTGACTAACGGCAAACGCAAGCCCCATACTTTGCAACGAATCTTGCGCAATCATCAACTCTTCGCCTGCGGCCCAGCACGCTCATCTGGGCAATCAGCTACCTATCCTCGGGGGCTGCTCGTCCCTGCTTCGCCTTGCCTCGCCTCAAGCTCGTCTCATTGCTCAGGCTGCTCACCTTCTTGCCTGGCGCCACCTGCCGTCTCTCTTGGTACCAGCCAACCGGATCGACAGACGACAGATCCGCGCTGGCACTGTCTCGAGACTCGACTGTCCGGGATCGAGACTTTGTCCACTTCCACTTTGTGTTTCTTCAATGGTAGCGCTGACCCTAGCTCTCGTCGTTGTCTCCTTGCCTGGCGGACGGAATGAGATAAGACATGCGTCCAAACGCCGCGCGACCAACCAGGACACACCCATCACCCACAACAGGTCGTATTGTCACTATTGTCGGGGTCTCGGGAATCGTTGGAACTGGAGACGCAACAGCCTTACTCGATATGCATGGCTCAAACAACGCGAGAACCAACAGGAACCTCTCTAGCATAGCTGCATCGCTACTTTGCAGGAAAGTACCGTACTGCTTCGGTGACCACCACGACGCACAAGTGCCCCAGGCCGATACTTCTCCGACGATTTCATCCATGGCCTAACTTACTCTCGTGTCACCCTCTCATCCCAATCCAGACGTCTTTGCCATGTGTGCACGTCTCAGGCAACCACTCGTCCAAACGAAGTTTCTCCTCACTTTCTCCTGCTATGCATGCGCCTATCCAACGGCACGAACCATTGATCAAAAGAATCGACTTTTCTGCCTAGACTTTACATGTCGTTCTGTTGATGCCTCAGGCTTCCACAAGTCGCCTGGAACCCCTGTCTGGTGACAATGGAACCTTTTGACATCACCAATTCTGGTCTCGAATCGCACACATCCCTACTAGAAATCTCTTTGAAGCAGAGCGGCCAAGAGGTGAAGCTCAAAAGACCAAGGCAGAGAGTCGTTCGGTGTGCCTGGCTGGCTGGCAGCAACCATTGACGGCGCAACCCACTCCACTAACCCACTAACACCTTCGAGACACATGTCTCGCTGGCTAGCCCCCCATGCAAGTGTCATTCGCCGTCCCAAAGGGGCAATCCGAATCGGGTGCCGCGCCCTCGGAGCCGTCATCCATTCTCGACGATCACTGTCCGCTCAAGATATACCTTTTGTGGCGTACAAAAAGCCACACTATCTTCTATAGCTACGAAGTAGAAGGGTGCGAAACGTTCGGCTTCATCATATCAACTTTTCGACCATAACTATGGAGCAGTTGTTCCGGGCGGTCTCTATCAGACAGGTCCTGGTTCCCCGGCCGATCTTCACGCTCTAGTCCATCCCTCCCGAGTACCACACGGGGACCCATCCCCGCGTGCTCCAACTTCAAGCTCCTCCGCCTGCCGCCCACCCCCTTGGCGGGTGGATGCCCGCATCACCCGAGGTCCTAGCGTCAAAATGACAGCCTCGCCGGCAGCGATCGACAATCCATCTATCGTCTTCAGGCCAATCACCAATATCAATGAGTGGCCACAGTGAAGCACAAACTGAACGGAGGAAAGACGGAGTGACACAGGCGATCAAGGTGCGGCTCCAAAGTCGACGCAGCAGTCGCAGTCTGGGGAAGTACGACTTCTGCCCCTACGGAAAGATGACGGTCGAGAATTACCCCTTCATCTCGCCTTACAGTGTGGCCAAGTTGGGGTGGTTTAGACCAGGCTGTTTGACGCGCAATGCGGAGCGCCAATCGAGACCGGCATCATGTTTTCTTCTCTCGAACGATTCGATGCTTCCCCGAAGTTATTGGCCGCGCTCAGTGCCGCGTCGCCGAACCCGCATGCCCTGTTCGGGTTTTTGCAGTACCTCTGATACGTAACGATCGACGTCTCCGCATAGGAGGCTTGAAAACTACGTCCATGTTCTGGCTCCCGCTAAGGTACTGCCAGGGTTTCTGCCTAGCCATCTGTGTCACTAGAAGTACGGATACCATGCCCTGTTGCAGGCTTCGACTCACAAAATCAAGAGCACCCCTGGAATGGGCATGCCTAGATCAGTGGCTCTGCCTGGTAGCAACACTTCCCATCTTTACAGTTTTGTCCGCAAGAAAACAGGCTTCCTTCATTGTATCGTAACCTAGGTCTCACAGGCAGCACTCATCACTGCTCCACGAAAAACGGGAGGATCCGTCGATTGCGTCTCGAATCTCCCTGACTCCCCGATATTGAAAACCTGATCACCTTGCTAACACATAACGTCTAGGTCGCTCAGGGGAATGGGGCTGAAGCCCAAAGTACGCAGCACACCTGAATCTTGTGCTCATTGCTGACTCCGATACTTAGAAGAGTTACGATTCACCGCAGCGTCGATCAACTCACACAGCCGTTTCTCTCTGGCGCAACTGATAAGCTTCAATCTGCCGGATCGCCTGGGACAACACACCTTTGTGTAACAGGGATGGCTTACTGGACTCGGCGTCTGCCTCGGACAGCGTTAAAGATCTCCAAGTCATCGACACAAGCTCGTAGACGACTTTGCGTTTTCTGCAGCAGAATCTGGGAGACGCGACACTCTTTTTGAATTGGCTTACGTTGACACTGAGATATAGAGTTATGGTAGATCGATTTGGTCAACTGCAGCATTCCTCTCCCCATGAGATGGCGATCTTGCCGGTCGAGACCTGTTTGAGCTTATGCCTTGGCTCGTCCGCTAACACTTCTATTCAGGGCTTAGACTTGTTGTTGACAGCGACTCATACCGGGTACGCAACATCATCATCTTCTTCCCAAGGCAGACGCAACATGGTCAGCAAACTGCTGGTTGAAAGCTCATTTCGCCCTAGAGAGCACCATTCTCTCTTGTTTCATTCACGCAGACGCAAATCCCGGTGTACACATGGTTTCTAGGCGAAGAGGACACGGTGCCCTCCACCCTCTGGGAAACGACTCACGCGGATGAACCCCTCTATCCCTCTCCGTCAAGGTAGGATTCTATAGACAACGATAAACTCGTTACTCCACCATACGTTCTGTGAGGGTGGGTACATTTGGCCTCAACTGTGTTCTAACCCCTGAACTAGTTTGCCTGCCCGGTTGCCCGCACTCCATCTTGGCTCCATCTCGTGTGACTCAACCCTTCAG